CTCCACCCCAGGAGCTTAAGGGGGTCTAGCACTGGATTGTGCTGCTATCATTAAATCCAGCACAAAGTTGTTTAGATATCTAGTTAATTTTCCTTACATTCCAGCCACATGTTCTTGTCCTGTCCTTTGTCCCAGGAGTAGATTCTGAGCTGGTCCTGCTTCCTTCTAATCCATAAAAAATCTCTGCTTTTCAGTCTAGCCAGGCCCTTCCATCTACTTGCTTTGAGGTCAGGAAGCTGCCTGTGATGATAGAAACAAGGGGCAGCTGAGATCTCAGCTGACAGAAGTTTCCCCAGATCCATCTTAGATGGGCTCAGGCAGGAGGGGAGAAATCTGCTGGTGTGGAGAGAAAACCCACCCGGCCCCTTTGGAGGAGACGGCCCCGGGCAAGGCTGCTCTGGTGAGCTGGGGAGGAGCAGAGTTGACCATGTGAGAAGTTCTCCCTCGGGATCTGACACCTCCACCCCCAGAACAGGAGTTTGGGTAATTTTTCCATGTCAAAGAAGATGTGGGGAGAGGAAACCATAGCCCACTCTCAGCTCTTCTGATTGTTGCAGCGTGCCACCACCCTTCCTCATCACCCACATGAAGTATTTTTAGGGTTTGTTTGCCTCGCTCAGCTCCAGCTCATTCTTTCTTAGGGTGACAAGGACTTCCCTCCCACAGCTCCCCAGGTGGCCCATCCGAAACCACAGCCCTGCCTGGAGCAGCTTCCCCTTCCCCCTCCTATTAACCAGCTGGTTCACAGCCAGTGGTGGGAAGCAGTGGCTGGGACAGCATGAGAAGGGTGAGGATAAACCAGTGCCTGCTCTGAGGTGGATGGGAGCAACTGCATTTAGTGAGGCCTCACACCAGTTTACCTCCCCAAAATTCCAGTCTGCCTCCAGCCCAGCTCTGTTTGGCACCAAGGGCTTTTAAATCATAACTTAGAATTAGCCACCAGCTGATGTGCATGGGCAAGGAGCTGGCAGGGAAGGACAAATCATGAGCAGTGAGCTGTTATTCAAGGCAACAAGGAGTCCAGGCTCTTTCCCCAAAACTTCTTTCTCTGTCTTGCTGCTGAAAGGTACTGAAATGAGTTAAATCCATCCTGGAAAAGCACCTTTTTTTTTCCCTGTAAAAGGTTCTGTGTGATTTGGCTGGGATATTTGTGGCCTAAGGTGTGATCTTGGATGGTCGCTTGGTGGAATGAGTTTTACTGGTTTAAATGAGGATTTTAAATTTGAGTCTCTGTTTTCTTAAGATTCAGGAAGTTTCCTGTTAAATAGTTTGGCTCCTGGTCACCCCTGAGAAGTGCAGGGATCTGTTAAAAGCACGGTGGCTTTCTGCAGATCCCCAGTTCTGTTTCACATCTCATGCTCTGGGGGAGAGCTCCTGTTTGAGCAGCTCTTCTGCAGATGAACCCCTTGGACCTGGGGCAGTTGAGATTTCTGACCTAGTTGTGGTAAGCCAGAGCTAATGCTTATTTCAGGAGACTTGGGTTTAGGCCGTTATTATCTAGAGCTGTGTTGTGGTGCCACGGCCTTGAGCTGCTCCTGACTGCTGCTCGAACCTCAGGCTGGATGCTGAAACTGGCCTGATACTTTCTCTGCAGGGAGAAGCTGTGAGAGGTGTGGAGTGCTCAGTGAAAGCAGAAATGCTCCTGAGTTTTGCCACTCCAGTGTTAAGCTTCACCTCTTCTGGTTTTCTTTGAGGCTCCTTCCTCTTTGATTCCATGGCTGCAATTGCGAGACGCTTCTTGTACAGGATATTTGTAATCTCTGAGGTGTGAATGGGCTGGGGAGGTGAGGAAGGAGTGTGCTGTGCAGGTTAATCCAGCCACGTCAGCCCCTTGGAGCCGCGGGCTGGGTGACACTGGTGGCTCCTCTCAACTAGCATGGCAGCTGCTGCTCTGCCCTCCAACGTGGGTGTTGTGGCCACCAGTGCTGTGGTCGCTGCCTCTCCCTCTGGGCAGCTGGCACAGGAATGTGGTATTTCATTAGTGACTTTTTAAATGTAAAAGAGAACAATAAAATGTTACAACATAAAGGCTTCTCATGTAAACATTGATCGGGAGCCGCTGGGCACCTCCAGCAGTGGAGCAGTGCTAAGGCAGTTAACAGTTAAAATGAAGACTGCTGCTTAGTCTGTTGGTGACTTTTTACTGTGCAATTCATCAGCAGATGAAGTAAAACAACGTTTTTTCTACTTCACTGATTCTACAAGCTCTTTATCCTGCAGGGCAGTACTGATGTGAAGCTACACTGATCAACAAACGCCTCTGGACAGGACCAGAAGGATCCGATCAAACTACTGTGGTACGTACCAGATACACCGTGAGGAGGAAACAGGATGGAAAAACAAAGGTTGGGGTTTTTACATCGTTATAATTTATTTTCCACAAAGTACAGTCAGTTTTCAGACTTCAGTGGGGAATCTCCAGTTAGGATTGTGGGCCAGTGTTCATGGATTCACCTGAACAAGTGGCAAACTTGTTCTGTCTGCTGAATGTTTAAAAAGCTCCGTGTGCTCTGAGGCCCCTGCTGACTGGTGGGGAGGCACCAGGTGCAGCTCTCCCGGGTGACCTGTTCCATAGTCATTTCCATGGAGGCAGCTGCATCTTTTCCTGCTCTGGATACATCTAGTCCATAAAGACCTGAAGACTTCTTGGTCTTTTATCCCATGGGAGACCAGTGTAAGTGCAGATTTTGGTGAAGCAGTTTTCCTCCCTGGAGTAAGTTAGGTGAATATATTTTGCTTAAAAAGTTTTAGTTAAGGCAGTGTATTTTCAGGGCACATTCATGTACATATTTAACTTCTTTTGTGTAAAGCAGCTTGACATATATGAATATACGTTAAGAATACATCGTTACTGATGAGGAAAGCTAAGACAACCCTGTATTATGGGTGTTCCTTGCTCTGGCAAAGCTCTCGTGAGATGAGTGTCTTGCCTGGGTAAGGACAATAGGAACAAACCAAGAATAAATGACTCTTCAGTGTCAGTTGTAACCCCCCATTTCATATGACAGAGAAGCAGCGTTTCTGTGCACGTTACATGGACATTATAAACCAAAACATGTTAAAACGTCTGGATGGGATTGTGCTTCAGCACAGACAGGGAGTGTGGAGCAGAATGTGCTTTCCTCCTGAGTCCCAGCCCTTGGCAAAGTCCCATACCCTAGAGCCAAGCGGTTTATGAGGAGGAATCTATGTAATTGTGATGGCAGCCAGCTATATAACTGGCAATGTTGTCCAAAACCAGCTAATTGAATTCTTTCCTTGGAAGGCTGATTTTAATTCTCAGATCTCTAAAGCAATGTCTGTCAACCTGTGATCCAGTGAGTTCCCTGTGTCACTCCTAAAGGATCCAGATGTGGTACAGAAGAGTGTAAAAGTCCTTTTAGTCCGTGACACCTGGGCTGGGTGAGCTGGGTGCTGTGGGCATCGGGGTACACGTCTGGGGACAGATGCATGCAGCAGCTCCTCCCTGGGTGACATTCAGCCATCCAACGACAGCAGTTCCCAGGGATTCATCTGTGGGGAGGGATCTTCGCTCTTCCAGTAAAAACACCAGCTGGCATTGCATTCTGGGCTGCTGTTCAAGGTCTTATTTTACATGACAATAATCTGTTGTTCAGCTGCCGTGTGCCTTTCCAGTACATGACCCTGGCAGTGACACCCAGCACGTGGCTGTGCTCTGCAGCTGACCCAGCCCCGGCCAAAGGCGCCTTGCCCAGCGCCAACACACCTCCAGTAGCTTATAAGTGAAACACGAATCTGACTCAAAGCCAGCTGCTAGAGCCTGAGAAAGACATGTTGGTTGGGAAGGGAGAAGAAAACCCGCATTTTTGTTTATCTCTTGAGGTCAGCAAGAAGTCCAGAGAAGGGCCCCACGTGTGTGAAACCCGGCGGCTGCGTCCACGCAGCGAGTCCAGCTGGGTGCCAGTGAGCAGCCTGAGGGGCAGGACCGTGGCACAGCCGTGGCCTGGATTGGAGCATTTTGCCCTAAGAAATGCATATGGATTTGCCCTGGGCTCCAATCGTTAAAATTCTGGGGATTCTGGCACCAATCCACTAAAACCAAGTGCATGAGTAAACAGTCCCTCAGCGCATCGGGGTACGGGTGACGCTGGGACAGGCTGATGGGTGAGAGCTGAACGAGTCTGAAGCACCTGGGTGGGTACATCAGCCTTGTGCAGGGGGTGCCCTTTTGGAAGTTAGAGGAGAATTTATTTCCAGCATTTTTAAAGAATTCAGGTCCCCGTGGGGATGGAATAACTCGTACTCCTCTGGGTGCACCTTCTTTAGGCGTTAAACGCCAGATACAGGCAGAAGTGAAGTGGAATTTGTACTTTTCCTGACAAAGTGTATGACTTGTCACAATAATATACAAAATTATTGAAACGTCTGTCATACCTATGGGTTGAGTATTAGTTACGGCAGTTTCTCACTTTTCATAGGGGAAGCAGAGCAGAGTTGTGTGCTGGGATCTGTCACAGCTTATGTTGTGTGTTGGATTCAGCTTGGAGCCTGAGGTGGCTGCTGCTGTTTGACCCAATCAGTGCAACGGGCGTCGCTTCGGTAGGTCCTGAAGAGCAAGAGGTGGTCTTGTTAAAAGCAACATTCGAAGCAAGGATGATGCTTTTGGAAGTTCAGCCCTATAACAAGCACAAATGCTGTTGCACAAACGTCTGTTTCTCTTGGGATTTGTCACTTTTAGGGAAAATGTTCTGTTTTGAACATTTCTCGTTTTGACTAGGAAAGACCAAAATAAGGGTGAAATGACACGGTAAGTTCTAGACTCACTGGTCTCCCTCTCCCCTGCTGTGCTGTTGGTCACAGCTTTGCTAAAGTCTCTCCAGCCACGGGAGCATTGGCTCGCAGTGCTCACTGCCTGAAACTCGAGGAGGCTCCTGGGTTTCCCTCTTCCAGCCGCCGTTCCTGCAGTAGTGGTGGGTCTACTCAATAGAGGAAGTGCACAAAACTGTCCCACCTTAGCCAGAGCCTGGCCGGGGCTGGGCTCACGGGGAGAAGGTGGTGGTGGTCTCTGTCTCCATGGCGAAGGAAAACCTCTTGCTCTCGCGGCAGGTGGAGAGCTGCCAGAGGCGCTCCTGGCTCAGGCAGCCCAGCTCCTTCAGGAGCTTGAAGAGGTCGTTGCGGAACTTGACGCCGATGAAGGCGTAGAGGAAAGGATTGAGGCAGCATCGGAAGCAAGCCAGAGTGTAGGTCACGTCATCTGCCACGTCAAGCTTCTTGCTCTCTTCACAGGAGGTGGTGTGGTTGAAGGCTGAGATGGTCTTGGCCAGCATGACGCCGTTGTAGGGCAGCTGGAAGACGACGAAGACAATGACGACGGCTATGATGACCTTGATGGCTTTATTCTTCTCGAAGTTGCGAGCCTGGAGTAAAGTTTTGATGATGATGAGGTAGCAGACAGACATGACCAGCAGGGGAAATAAAAAGCCAAAAACCATCTGGGACACTTTGATGCCAGTATTGAAGGCTGGCAGGTCATTAGCGATGATGGAACAACGGGGATGGCTGTCCAAGTTGTTTAAACCACTGTGAACCAGCTCAGGGATGGAGAGGATGAAGGCCACGAGCCAAATGGAGACACATGTGACCTTGCTAATGAATATCATCCGGGGCCGGAAGCGGTGGGCTGAGGCAGCCTGAACGATGGCGAAGTACCTGTCGATGCTGATGGACAGGAGGAGCAGCATCCCGCTGAAGAAGCTCATTTTACAGATGCAGTAGACGGCTTTGCAGGCAAACTCCCCAAAAAGCCAGTGCGTGGCGGCACTTGTGGCCCAAAAGGGGAGGGTAAGCAGGAAGAGGATATCTGCCAGAGCCAGGTTCAGCAAATAGATGTCTGTCATGGTCTTGAGCCTCTTGAAGTAGATGTAGGTGAGCATCACCAGCCCGTTCCCCAGCAGCCCCGTGAAGCAGATGAGGGAGTACATGGCTGGGAGGAAGGCGGCGCGGAAGTTCCGGACCTCCTCCTTCTCACACAGGATCTCAAACAGGGTGTAGTCGATGGTAGCGTTGGAGTCATAGTCATCGGTGACGTTGCTCCCCATGCAGAGCTAGAACAGTCAAGAAGAATGTGTTGGGAAGGGAGCTGGGGCTGGGGCTGGGCTGTGGAGCCCCACAGGAGTACCCAGAAGTCCCAGGGAGTTCCCACGCCTTGGCTCATGACAACATCATAAACAAAATTGGTGAGGTCTTGTGGCTGAAAACGTTTCCCATAAGTATGTGGGGTTTGGGGTTTTTTTTGGAGGCTCAGAGTGGGAATTCCGTGAGAAATGTTTAGTGCTCAGCTAAAATAACACCTGCGAACTCTCAAACATGTGGCTGCTTTCCAGAGTGTGTCAGGACCCACATACAGCTGTTGGATAAACTGGGAAAAATAATACATCCTTCAGCATTCTCCTTCCCCCTGCAGGGATAACGTTTCCCCCTGACTGACTCGACCCAGTAGCATTTTCTAACGGCAGCATTCCCTCCCTCCAGTTCCCACGTCCCCTTCTGCGCGTGGCAGTGCCAGCAGCGGGCTGCAGTGGTGACCCCGTGTCCCCCCGGCTCAGGGTGAGCCCGGCGAGCAGCCGGAGCAGGGCCGGGAGCAAAGGGCTCTGTGGGAAGACAAAGCCAGAGTCCCCTGGGCTGTTTTCTCTGCTCAATTAACTGAGTTGTCAATGAGAGCGGGGGGACACGGGGAGTGGAGCAGGAACCTGTCACCGCGCGGGCACGTTGCCGCTCTCTCATTCAGGCCCCTGCCCCTGATTTAAGTTCTGATTATTGTTTCATCTTCCTACACTGTCATAACCTAGAGGGCTGAGCGAGCTTGTGGTATCTGTGCCCTGCTTTTTTTGTGACTTATTAGTCTCCAGCACCTTCTCTCCATTGCACAGAGATGAAAGGTTTCCCCTGGATACCTCTGCGTGTTATCGCTGAGTATCTTTGCGCGCTCTCCATCTCGGGCAGGTTTGGCTTTCACCACATCCTGCTGCTCTCTGGAGATGTGCCACCAGAAGTGAAAGGGAAAAGAAAGAGGCTGCAAAACTCCCTGCCCTGCTGAGCCTCTGGTGAGCCCGAGCTGGGGGCCGTGGCGTGGTGGAGGCTCCTGTGGTTACGGGAGCGCCGGGGCCAGCCCGCGGTTCAGGGGCAGGTCACGGCACAGCTCCGGGCTCTGACTTCGCCTCCCCGCTTCAGCTTTTCTCTGAACAGGAAAAGGAGGAGGAAGATGCTGAACTCTTCCTCCTCGGGCATGTCAGCTCTTCAGCACTGACCTCAGGTAGAGCCCAGAACTCTGACCAGGTGTTTGCAGAGAGCCACGAGCTGGGTCTCCACAAGCACCTGGTGGAGGATGCTCTTGTCTTTTCTGAAAGTGCTCGTTTTGGTGCTAGAAAGAGCCTGGGTTCTTATAGCTCGGGCCATCCTAACATCACAGCTATGTCATTGTTTCTGTTCTCTCTTTGTTTTCGTTCCTCTTGTTTTCCCCCTGGCTCCCAGCACCCCTCTGCTGTCTCACCACCCGCCCCCGGAGGGGCCGGATCCCTGGGGCGAGCGGCCGTGTCCCACTCAGCTCGGCAGGGCTGTGGGTGGCTCTTTCTGCCTTCAGAGCTCTTGAGATCTCTCTTTACCCACAATACAAACACAGCTGGATTTCAACAGGGTTGTTTTTTCACATCTTACCTGAAAAATGAGAGGAAGGCTGAAAACAAGGATGACCTTTAACTGCTTGCCTGCGGGAGAAGGAGACACTATGTTAGTGGTTGAGTGGGGGTTTCCACATGATGCTTGCTTTAAAAAAACAGTGGTAACAAACTCAACCATGATATTCTTTACCCGGCAAAGCTCCTACTGCTGGGAAAACTAAAAGCCAGTGAAGATGCTCACAGGAGAACTCAGGGTCACATAACAAGTGTCTGTCAGATCACAGCTGAGTCTCAGGAGTCTGACCCTCCAGTCTCATCTCCAAAGGCTGATAGCTGAGGATGCTTAACTCAGGCACACTGTACCCATTTTTACTTTACACATAATTTTTTTTCCTACAGGCAGTCAGCAGCCCATCTCCTGTGCCTTGTTCTGCACTGTGAGGGTGTAACACACTCAACCCATGTGAAAACATCCAGCTGTGAGTGCAGCACATCTGGCCCAGCTGTTCCCTGGCCTGCAGAGCAGGAAAGCTCAGCTCCCGGCAGCAGAGGCCTGACTGAAGCCAGCTGAAATTTATGGCTTGTCTCTAAATGTCAGGGTTGGTTTCTGCTGCCTTTGGCTGTGGAGATGCAGGATGCTGGCAGGCGGGAGGAGAAATTCAGAGCCAGATGTGATAATGGTGAGAGCAATCTCAGACAAACAGCTCTTCCTGCTGTGGTTAGCAGAGGCGCAGGGGCCAGTGAAAGCTTTCTCTCGGCTCTATTTAAAGCACATACCAGCATCTACCTCAGGCAGTTGCGACTGAAAGTTGCCCAAGCTAGACGGTGATTTTGGCTGTGAGAAGGGCCTCGGCCCTGCTCCAGCACCAGCAGATGTGGCCTCCTCGAGGGCAGTTGGCATCAGCTGTTCTGAGCATCGTGCTCATCCTCGGCTCTCTCTAGGCACTGGCTCGTTCCCTGTGCCACGGCCCCTCAGGTGAGCTGGTCCAGGATCACTGAGTGAGGCTGGGGCAGAGGCAGGAGACACCTTTGGCTTTCACCTGCCTGTCTGCTGCAGAGTATGGCTTTCTCCTCATGGCCTGCTTGTAAATCTGACCGGTCCCTTTGCCCCTCTTGTGCTCAGTGAGGTTCTGTCTCTTTGCAGAGCTCCTTCACACCCTTCCCTGCCCTGCCAGTCTCCTGTTCAGGTGCCACACCAGACCTGGATGATGAGTTTCCACCATTTCAGGTAGCTGTGACCTTTGTGCCAGTGTCCCCACGTTAAGTCACGTGCAACAGCATCCTCAATAACAGAAAGAGCTGCTGTGCTCTCCGTGACAGGAGATGCTTGTTTACGTGTGAGTAGTGATGTGGGGGTGAGAGATCCTCAGCCACGTGTGAAGAAGTTCAGGTTTGTCATCTCTAGAGTCTGTCTGTGAGCTTCCCGCTGCATCTCAGGAGTTTGTGCCCCTTTATTTTGGTCTTTTTTACTCATGCAGCTGGGTGCTTGCCTGTGCTCCTACACCCTCACCTCCTCCCAGTCCTCCTGGGGGAATCTGGGAATTCTGATAGTGCCTCGTTAGTGCAGTTTACAGTCAGGAGTGAGCATGCTGAGGTGGGGCTTGAGGGGTACAGGGGAACCTTGGCTAAACCCTTCTGCCTGTCTTTGTGTCCAGTGCCTTTCACTCTGACCAGTGCCAGACTGCAGGACGAGGTTTGGTGAGGATCTGCTGTAGCCATCTCTCCCCACAGGCTGCTGATCTAACTTGTGCACATTACACACAGGAAATACATCGAAAGCCCAAACCACTTAAACCTGGTGGGTGAACTTAAGCAAGCCTAGACCTCAATCACCTTCCCTGCCCAGGGCACAGGCACAGGGTCCCTGACGTCTGCAAAAAACCCAACAGCCCCTGGAGTCTTGTCTCCTGTTCCATCTTCTTAACAGCCTGGTTTCCTGGGCACTCGTGGGGCTGATAGGTAAGAATTACCTTGGCTGGCCCATCTCAGCCACACCAGGCAGGGCCTGAGGCCTCCAAGGCAATGAACTCCCCAGAAGCTGCAGGAAAGGGCAGCAGAGAAGAGCCAGGCTGAGCCCACGTGGAGAGGAGCAGCGCTGAGCTGGGCTCAGTCCCGTGGGAGCATCGGGGCACGGCTGCTCACGAGGGACCGGTGCTGGTGATGCTCCAGCACAGCCAGACCAGGGCAACGGCCCCTCTCCTGGGACTGTCTTTATCATCATCTGCTCTCCGAGCCCTGCCCAGCGCTCCCAGAGCCTGGAAAGCCGTGAGCCCAGCTCTGCTCAGTGCCTCTGCTGCTCTTTCTTGACGCACTGTGAAGCGTCTGATGAAACGGGACCGATAAAGTGACTCAACTAAAGATCCTGAAACAGTTCAGCCAGGTATCAGTCCTTTGAAGATCACTTTTTTTTCCCTCTGAGTTGCTGTTTCAAGTATCTTAAATGTCAGATTATTTCTCATCATAAAAAAAGCTTGCACTTTTTCTTCCCCTCTTCTGTCCTCCACTTACGCATTTGCAAAGCCATAAGCAGAGAGGCGACGGAGCCTCGTGCTGCTCCTGCCTGGGCTCCTCCAGCAAGTCCCTGAGTCACCAGTTTTGGGCAGGCTGGGGACTTGCTTCACCCTGCAGTGCTCCCAGGGTCCAGGAAAGAAGCACATGGGTTGCAGAGAAGAAATGAAACATGCTCTACAGTTCAATAGGCAATTTTAGGTGGCTTTCTTGACTTTTTCTTTCTTTTTTCTATTTTTTTTTTTTTAAATTTATCTCTGGCAGTTCTCTGCTATGGGTATTTTCCTAAAGTTTTGTTCCTCAAAATATTAAGAGCCACCCCCCCTCAAAAGTCCCCTCAAACAGTTGAACTAGAAACCTCAATTTATAAAAAGACAGCAAAAACCCATTACGACAAATGAGTCAGATGTGTCAGAGCCCCACGTGTCCCACAGCTGGTGCTGCCCTGGTCTGCTGGGCTCTGGAGGGCACGCTCCTGTCCTGCAGGACCTGGGGGGAGGCAGGAGGCAGAGTCACTCCACGGGGTCTGCTCTCCACAGCAGGGCACAGGGGAGAGGGGACAGTGACCCAGCAGGTTTGAAAATCTTTCTGTGGAGTAAGCACAGGGGGTGGGATTCAGCCCCCTCAGCAGCTGCTTGGCTGGTTAGGCTCCCTGGATAGAAAAGGGAAAGAAATGGGTGTTTTTAAGGCATGGTTTGGCTGCCACAGGGTGGGTGTCGTGCCCTTCTTTCCATGCTGTGGCAGAAGGGTCTGTCAGTTTGGACAGAGGAGCCCCAGTTTATCTGAATCTCCCTCAGCTTCAGCAACCAACCTTAGGCAAGATCAAAGCAACTGCAGTAGCAGCAAATGCCCCCAGGAA